TAGAAAGAGAAAACTTGTGCTGTATTGATGAGGTTTTCTAATGAGTAAGCCCATGAACAAGTGCTGGTTTTTAGCCTTTTCCTACGTTTTTCCATTCGTCCATGTCTCTGGCTAATTCCATACAGATTCTAACTACTGAACCGTGACCATTGTATTAAGAAAGAATCCAGGCAGGCCTTTACAATTCTTTTGGCTGGTATATTAGCAGGCTTCAAATGAAGTGCAACGTGTCAAGGAAAAAGTAAGGGAATGGAAAGTTTTGTTTCTTTCTGCTGTGTTTAATCAGCTTCTCCTTGATTCTTTTTTAATGAAAAGCCACGGACATTATTGCTAGTTAATGACTGAGTTGGACAAGAATGCCCTCAACACTCTCTTTGCTTTGGTAAAGACTCTGTCTCTCAAGTTTTCTGAGGTGAAAATACAAAGTTAAAGGAGCAGCTGCAAGAAGAGGAATGAACAGTGTCCTGGGATCTGCAGCTAAGTGGGATGTGCTGGAACAGAGGACTCCCAGCAGTCCTGCAGTGCACGGACACCTTGGGCTGCTGCTGGGTTTATCCTTTCCATTGAGCAAAGGAGCAGATCTGCCTGGGTGCTGGTGGAGTGGAAAAAAGTCTGCTTCAACATTCTTAGTGCAGGGAGGGGAATGCCTCAAACCTCACACTAAATGGGTGAAATGTTGTTTTTCATTAAACCTGGTATTTGGAGTTACTCATCAGTTCATGCAGGAAATGGGGAAACTCTAACAACTTTTCAATTCCAAGAATACACTCAGCAAAGCTGCTTTGGATTCAGGATGGGGATCTTTTATATTGTTTGTGTGCTATTTTGACACTGTGTACAAAGATCTCCATAGTGAGAACTATCTGTGGCTTGAACATAGAATTCCAAGACATTGGGTAGTGTTGTAGGTACCTTTTTCCTATATTAGTTTCCAAGAAACACTTGGTTTTCAGCCTCAAACCAAGTGATGCTGCTGTTTTAATGACTCTGACTAATAAAACCCAGCAAGCTAAACTTTACCATTGCTGGAAGACTCTTGCAGCAATAAATTCAATTTATGAGAACTCCTAATAAAAGTTTACATATCTTTCAAGTGCCATGAAAGAAAATGGGCAATCTGACCAAAAAAAAAAAAAAAAGGTCAAGATGTTTCTTTATTACAAAAAATGACTATTCAGTGAAGCATGAAGGTTTTCTCTCAGACCTTGTTCCTCAGCATGTTCTCACAGTCACCCTTGGTCCTGGATAAATGCTGGAATAAACAAAACAAATAGCATTTCACCACACATGCAGGAGGATAAAATAAAAACCACATCGTGCTGGACCACAAATGCTTCAGGAAGTTCTGGCTGAATGTGAAAAGTACTTTGTAATGCTAATAAGTGTTTATCCTTTTGCTTCCTCGAATGTAATCAAATGTACAGGGAAAGCACATGGATTTTAGAGCTGCTGATTGCAGGATCAAAAGCCTTGTTATTAACTGCACATGAATCTGATGTTGTGGGGCCGTTAGGATGGCATCTGACATCATTGTTTGCTTCCTTTGTTGATAGCCCCTCCTTTCAGAGAGGGGCAGAGCCTGCAGGAGCCCTTTGGAGAGCTCTTTCCTGTAGGTGGGTGATCCATGGCAGCAGCTCTGGGAAATGCCTGGGGCACAGGGAACCCTCCTCACAGCACTTGGATGATGGAATATCCCTGAATTTGGTGTCAACCCCTCCACAAATCCCAACAGAAGGTGGGATGGTGGTGACAGTCATGGACCTTCTGCCTGCTGGGATCCACTCCCCACACCAAACTGCAGCAGTCTGGTTCTACATCTTAATAAACAAACAACAAAAAATCCCTGAAACATGGCCTGCTATAAACAAGCAAAGCAAACAGCTGGTCCTCATTTGAAAAAAGATGTGACATCAATTTCAAAATGAATCTGCAGATCTTCTTAATGCAAATATTCTTGGGAAAACAAAAAGCAGCTGTTTATGCTTCTTTATACCTATTAGCAGGAGAACAAAATCCAGGATGCTTGTATTTCTTCCACTAAGAAAAACATCCTCTTGGCCTTGACATTCATTTAGAGCTCAAATTGTTTGAAATATACTGGGCTGCCTAACTGTGCTATTGCTGTGCTGCTCCAGCAAGCAGCTAGGAGCTGTTTCTGTTCAAAACTGAAAGCTGCTACAAGTAGAGTTGTCATTGAGTGCTTTGCATTAATTTTGTGACAGAAAGAGGGAATTTTAGAACAGGCATTTTCAAATTTATCAGTTCTGGCCTCCCAGCCATGAGGAGCATGAGATGTGTGGATCCCTGGAAAAAGAATGAATAATTTGGCCTGTAATGAACAGGTTTGCTTTTCTTAATTACTGCTGGGAGGCAGCTCAGAGGGAATGCAAGGACTGGAGGAGGATCTGGGAGCAGCAAAACAGAGCCATTCGGGATTGCTCCATCTTACAAAGCAGATTGAAGGAGCTTAGGCTGAGAAGTAGTGGCAAAGAACTGAATTTGGACTCTCTTGAGCCTTCTGAGGTCCTGTGGCTGCTCTCCCAGATGTTGAAGGATAATTCCCCACCTTTGGGGTTGTTTGGTACTGGCTCTGGATGGAGTTTGATGTGGGTTTGTGTTTCTGTGCAGTAATACAGCTCCTGTTTGTCCTGACATCGTTCTACTGTTTTCTCTCCACCCTTCCGGGCTCATTTTGTTTCTGCCACCACTGAGAGCTGTTCTGTCTGCATGGGCTCCATTGTGGTGCAAATCCGTGTGCTGCACTCCTGTCTCTGCCTTTGTAACCCGATCCAGGGCCAAGCTGTGCGCTTCCCTGGAAACTGGGGCTGTCTGTGAGAGCCAAAGGACAGCCCTGTGTGACACCTGTGTCTGTGACAGCCAAGGGACAGCCCTGTGTAACTGCCCTGTCTGTGACATCCAAGGGACAGCCCTGTGTGACTGCCCTGTCTGTGACACCCAAGGGACAGCCCTGTGTGACACCCCTGTCTGTGAGAGCCAAGGGACAGCTCTGTGTGACACCTGTGTCTGTGACAGCCAAGGGACAGCCCTGTGTGACACCTGTGTCTGTGACAGCCAAGGGACAGCCCTGTGTGCCTGCCCTGTCTGTGACAGCCAAGGGACAGCCCTGTGTGACACCTGTGTCTGTGACACCCAAGGACAGCCCTGTGTGACACCTGTGTCTGTGACAGCCAAGGGACAGCCCTGTGTGCCTGCCCTGTCTGTGACAGCCAAGGGACAGCCCTGTGTGACACCTGTGTCTGTGACAGCCAAGGGACAGCCCTGTGTGCCTGCCCTGTCTGTGACACCCAAGGGACAGCTCTGTGTGACTCCTGTGTCTGTGACACCCAAGGGACAGCTCTGTGTGACTCCTGTGTCTGTGACAGCCAAGGGACAGCTCTGTGTGACACCCCTGTCTGTGACAGCCAAGGGACAGCCCTGTGTGACACCTGTGTCTGTGACAGCCAAGGGACAGCCCTGTGTGACTCCCGTGTCTGTGACACCCAAGGGACAGCCCTGTGTGACTCCCGTGTCTGTGACAGCCAAGGGACAGCCCTGTGTGACACCTGTGTCTGTGACAGCCAAGGGACAGCTCTGTGTGACACCCCTGTCTGTGACAGCCAAGGGACAGCCCTGTGTGACACCTGTGTCTGTGACAGCCAAGGGACAGCCCTGTGTGCCTGCCCTGTCTGTGACACCCAAGGGACAGCCCTGTGTGACTCCTGTGTCTGTGACACCCAAGGACAGCCCTGTGTGACACCCCAGTCTGTGACACCCAAGGACAGCCCTGTGTGACACCCCAGTCTGTGACACCCAAGGAAAAGCCATTTTTTCACCCCATGTTGGCATTCCCAGCTCCTACATCAAACCCAGGGAAAGGCTTTTGGCTCCCCAGGGCCCAGGCTGCAGCACAGAGAGGCCCAATTGGGGTTTCTTGGGGTCCTGGCAATAAAACTGGGGTTAAACACGGCCTGACCTGTTCCAAAAGAAGCTGCAGAGGAAACTGTTGGTGCTTATTGAATCCTAATGATTTCCTGGGATCATTGTGTGGTGTAGCTCTGAGATTCCCATATTGAGGACAGGTCAGGAGTCTGCAATTGGGATGTCTTACCTGAAATCACTGTAGTGGGAATTACTCCAGTAATAGGAAAAATGCTTTATTTTAGGACACTCTGAGCAAAATAGAAATGTTTTATTAGTACATATACCCTGATTCTGGAGATCCTGCTTCAGGTCACCTCCGGGGAACTCTGCCTTGGTGGGGGGTCGGTTTAGGTGTCCCCTGAGGTCCCTTTGAACCCCGACAAATCTGAGATCCCGTTATCCCTGGCACAACTGCCTGAGCCCTGAAGGCCTCCAGCTGTATCAGCACCTGCCTGGCTTCCAGCAGGTACCTCCCAGCCTACACCGAGCACTTCCTTTTAGAAATAATTAATAATTCCTTTTAAAATAATTTATCATTTCATTTTAAAAATAATTAATAATTACCCCTGGCCTTAAGCAGCTGGAGGCTGCTTATTCTTCCACGTCACTTCAGACCTAGCAGATGCATTACAGGCATGTGTAAAGTGCAGTTTACCTGTGTAAAACGCAGCTTTAGAGTTACGAGTTTGCTACTCGTTACCTCTTCTGGGCGGCGTTTGCCGTGCAACCCGCCTGCCTCGTGCTGCCTTTGGTTTAAACTTGAACAAGTGCGTTTAAGGGAGCGACGTTCCCGCGCAGAGGCTCCGGGACCGACTGAGGGCCGGGCCCGAGCTGCGGGCGGGCCCCCCGCAGGCCCCGCCCCCAGGCCCGGCCTCGGGCTCTGATTGGCCTCCGCGCTCACCCCCGCGCTGCAGTTGGTGCCGCCGTGCGCCGCGTCCCCCCCCGCGTCGGTGGCGTGGTTCGCTCCGCCCCGCCCTCCCGCCCCGCCGCCGCGCATCCATACTTGGCGATGGCCGGCGAGCCGCGCGCTGATTGGCGGGGAGCGGAGCGGGGGCGGGGCCGGCGGCGCTGACCCGGATGTTCACTGCCGGGCGGCGGCGGAAGCGGACGGGCCGCGGCGTCGAAGCGACAGGGACGGACCGGGAGGCGCCGCCGTTCTACCGCCCCGCGCACCCGCCCAGCCGACATGGTGAGAGCGGGCTGGCCCCGCGCCCCTGCCCGCGGCCCCCGCCCTTCCGCACCGCCCCCCCGCGCCGGGCCCCGCGCCCACACCGCCCCCTCGCACCGGGGGGCCTCTCTCGGCCTCCCCCGGGCGGCGGGGACGGAGGGAGGGACGGCCCAGGTGGTGCTGCCGGGAGGCAGGGAGGGCTGGCCCGGCCTGAGGGCGCTACCGGGAGGGGCTGGGGCTGGCGGAGGCTCTGCCCGGCGCTTCGCAGGGCCCGGGGGCGGGGGGCTCGCCCGGGGCTCCGCTGCCCGGGCACTGCCAGACCTCCGGTCCCGGTACCGGGCGGTGCTTCCAGGGGGAAGGATGTAGAATTACACGGGCAATGCTTCCGCTTTGGCGGAGAACGGTGCCGCCCCGGGCGCTAGGAGCGTCGGGCCCGTGGCCGTGGCTCCCGTGCCCGAGCCCGGGCTGTCTCCCCCGCCGGGCCCGTGGCCGTGGCTCCCGTGTCCGAGCCCGGGCTGTGTCCCCCGCCTGGAGCTGCCCCTGGCCTGCGTGTGCTGGGCTCGCCTGGAGCTGTGAAATGCCGAGAGCAGAGGGGCTGCAGCCCTGGGTGCTGCTCCTCCACAGGGCTGCGAGCTTAACTTTGCCACGGAGAAGCTCCGGTTTCCCCGGCAGTGTGGAATGATCTACCTCGCTGTGTTCCCGAATGGATTAGCCCGGGGCACGAACCCTTTCGATTTCCCTTTGGTGCTGTGCAGAGGGAGCAGCCTCCAGCAGCTGGCCCGGGCCCTGCTCTGCTCCCTGCCCTGTGCACAGGGGCTTTTCCCGAGCCTCCTCAGGCATGGAGTCACTTGAAGGGAATCACATCACTTCATGCTCTTGGGGATTTGTGAGTCAGGTTTTCCAGCATGACAATTGAACAATGTTCAAATGTGTTTAGCTCACAAAAGATCAACCCAGAGCCTGGCTCTACAGCAGTGTAAAGGCTGTTTAACCACACCAGTGTAATCCTTTACTTCTTGCCTTCATCCATAGGCATTTCAGAGGCAATACCTTATGTTCTTTCTCTGGAGCTGGAGCCACCAGTATCATGCAGGATAAAGATTTTAATGTCAGGTGAAAGGTGAAGAACAGTTATGATCAAAGTTCTGTTCCGTGTTGGTTCAAACAAGAGCAGGTGCTGTACCTGAGTCCTGGCAGCACAGAGCATCTCATTCCAGCTGTGGGCCTGATTTTAACACACTGACATCTGTGTGTGCAGGACCTGCCTTGGAATCTCAAACTGGGATTCCAGCAAACTGTCCTGACTTATACCACTGCAAAAATTGTCACAGGAAAAGAGCTCAAAGAAAACAAGGAGGCTTCTTGGAAAGTAACAGCAGTGGTACCAACTTCTTTGAAGGGATATAAAAACGTGCTGTTAGGAGAATCCAGTCAGGGTTTAAATGTAACTGTGCCATTTGTTTGGAGGAGGTACAGCACAAATGCTTTGGAAATTTCCTGAGTGTTACCAGGTTTTGCTGCCTTCTGGTTCTTTCCTGTTTAGTTGTGGAGACCACTGGGCATAGGAGAAATTGGATCAGAACTTCCAACACTATTGTGGTGGTTTCCAATGTTGGGTGGACTCCAGGAATGAACCTGCAGCCTCCAGTTTCAACTCATGTGCAAACCCAGTGTTTAGGGTTCTTCCAGGATCTTTGCTTTTAGTGGTCTGAGACCAGAAGTGGAGCATTGAGAGGATGGAATGGCCTTTCCATTGCAGAGAGCAGTTGGTGTGGTGCAGGATATTGGGTGAAACACCTTCCTGGTACCTCAGGGTTACCAACATTTGTGTAGAGCAGAGCTGGGAACCTTTGTCTCCTTGGAGAGCTCGGAGCTGTGCCCACATTTCAGTCAGGTGCTCAGGGAAACAGGGCAGGGCAACACATGAAGCTTGAAAACTGCCTGGATGGATGGTGTCTCCTGTGCTAAAAATAAATGGAATGCACTGTTCAGGGCAAAGCAGGACTTGGGAGAGTGGATCTGCTGAGATTTCTGGAATTGTGGGTTATGAATGGATGGAATCCAGTTACTCTTTGTAAAAATAAAACCCTTCATTTCCAGGTTATGTAAACTGGCCTGATCATGTTAGCAGGGTTTTCTTCTGCCATGCAACTCTTGAGGAAAAGGAGGACAATTTTAGCAAAATTTATGATTTAATCATCCATAAATTCAGGCTGTCTAGTGTAGTGCTGGCTGGGCATCATCCATCTAGGATTTGTGAGGCAGATAAGGAGCAGTGAAGCACAGCCCAGGGTGTGTGATGTGACAGTGACACCAACACAAACCTCGTGTGCTGCTCAGGGTCACTCAGATTTTCAGGACAGGAGTTGTTTGTCTGCAATCAGAGCCCATCTGTGACCTGGTCGTGTCCCTTTTGGACCTCCACCATGTGCTGTGGGGGTGTGGGGATGTTTTCAGTACCCACAGCAAGTCCTTTGCACCTCATGCCTTTGAGAAACACCAACTTCAGCTGTTTTGTAGAGTCTGTGTTGTATTGGCAAGCCAAGTGTGTGAGCTTAGCTAAATATTATCTTAAACAGCAAATGCCCAAAATAATCAAGTCAGAGGATCTCTCTGGGAGGGGCAGTGCTGCCATTGCAGTGATGCTTCACCCCTGGTTTACTGGGCAGGGGAAAGCATTCAGCAGCTGAAGTTGTTCAAACAGGATTTCCTCCTATGGTAAATGTATATACTGATATGGGACTGGTTCACATCTGGGGGTGAAACAGAATGAAAGTGCATCTCAGCTCTTTTGGGGGACTATTTTTAGTCCTTATTAGTGGAGTTGAGTTGAGAAATTACTTGCTTTGGAAAAATGACAATGCTGCCCTTCTCAATTTCTGCTTCCACAGCTGTCAGCTTTGCTTTCCATCCATCCCTGACTTCCCTGGGGGAAGGATGGCTGGGGAGCTCGGGGTGCTCATCATCATCAGCCAGCACTCCCCAGTGCTCTCTGATGGTTCAGTTTGCCATTGGTGCATCAGAGAATGTGGAATGGTTTGATCTGGGAGGGACCTTGGAGCCCATCCCATTCCATCCCTTCCACTGTCCCAGGCTGCTCCAAGCCCCATCCAACCTGCACTTGGACCTTGGGCTTCCAGGAGTTCCAGTGCTGCTCTGGGCACCCTGTGCCAGGGCCTGCCCACCCTCCCAGGGAACAGTTCCTTCCTCCCCACCCATCCCTGCCCTCTGGCAGTAGGAAGCCATTCCCTGTGTCCTGTCCCTCATCTCTTGTCCATATTCTGTCACTATCCTTCCTGGCAGCTCCTTCAGGCACTGGAAAGCCCCAGTCAGGTCACCCCAAAGCCTTAAAATTCAAATTCAGGCTCAGGATGCTTCTGTAGCCTGGATGGGCAGTGCCAGTGCCCCTGTTTTTGTGCCTGCCCTTTGTGGGGGTGTTTGGTCAAATCCAGCTCCTTACCCTGCAAAGTGAACTTGTAGAGAAGTGTTTTGCTGCCATTTGAGCTTGTTCACACTCTGACAGACCCACCTCAAGGTAAAATAAAACTTTTCAGTGCCTCCTGAAGAGAGCAGCTTTACTGGAGAAATGTGAGGTTCTGAGGGGTGCCTGTACCTAGTTTAGGGCTGTGGAATCCCAGGATAGTTGGGGTTGGAAGGACCTTTAAGGCCATCAGGTCCAGCTCCCTCTGTGAGCAGAGACACCTTCCCTGGAGCAGGCAGCTCAGAGCCCTGTCCATGCTCAGCCCTGTTGTTTACCCTGCTTTGGTCCAACCTGCTTTAATAACCTTTCTTTCCAGGTGAAGGAGATGATGATTGCAGAAGTAGAAGATACTCAAAAGAGATGCTGATCTTCTGTTTTTATCAATATGTTTTAGTCAATCACTTTCTAAAGTGATTCATAAACTGATTTTTAAAGTGCATTATAAAATTTCCCGCTTTCCCACTGATTCATGCTGGGAGTCCTGAAGAATTTAAAAAGCCTCAAGCAAATAAATCTTTGTGTCTCTCCTTAATGCAAGGAGAAAGGCCCAAAGCTTGTGTATGCTTCAGTTCTTCCTAAGCCTTTGCCATTTCCAGGAATAAGGGCAAAAAAACCCTCACTTAAAAACATGGGATTTCAAATTTGAATTTCCTTGCAGCAGAGGCTTCATCCCTGAAGGAGTAATTAATATGTCTGACCAACACAAGCTTTTCCCAGGCTTCCTGCTCTCTCTAGTTGGGCTTTAGCCCAAATTATGTTTGCTGATAGGTTGTGATAATTAAAAAGCTTCTCTAACTTGAAGATCAGGAGCTCAGGCCAGTGCAGTGGGGGTGTGGCCACTTCAGACAGGAGTATAAACTGATCTTTTTCTTCATCTTTGGTGTGATGCCTTCTGAAATATTGAATAGTCTGTGACTGAGGGGTTCCTCTGAGAAGTGACCAAGCACTGTAGTGGAACACTGGAACCCTGGTTAAGGTGTGACTGAAACACTGGGAGGGTGTGAAACTCTTGTGACTTGAGCTGAATAATTCAGGGGTCCTGGACCTGATCCAGTGGCCAAAATTCCCTTCTTAGTCCTGTGTCCTAAAGCAGGATGGGAACAGATGTTGCAGACAGGCTGTCCTGGGGAGTTGGAGCTCTTGCCTGTGTGGTAGATGAGACATTTGCTTTTGAGACTTCCTTGGTGTGGCATGAGAGGAAATGTGGTATTGAGGAAGTTTTAAAGCTCTGGTGGTTGATCTGAGAGGGTTTCTCATTTGAGGAAGGAGCTTTGCTTGTTTCTCAGCTAAATCATTGTAATTCTCCCCTGGAATGCCAGATGCAGTGGAACCCTGTCCTATCCTGTGCTTTTGATGCAGTGAAGTTTTGAGTGAGGAACTGAAAACAGGCTCTATTCTGTAGTTTTGTGCCCAAAATTATCTTCTATTTAGAATGACTTTAGTTACATTAGGTAATACCTGGTGTTTCCTGGAGTGGTGGTCTGAGCCTTGGCACCAAGCACTAGATTATTTTCCTTGTATTCTCTGGTGCTGCTGTTTT